TATTTCAGGTAAGACTAAACATTTCATTTTCTTTTTCAGTCTTTCATCTTTTTTAAATAAGAAAGAAGTCCATTTTGGAAAAAAAAAAAGTATGAAATAATAATTTTACAAAATTTACAAATTTTATTTTGTTTTTCCAGATGTGTTTTTTTCTTTGTTGCATTTGTTACATTTCTTTATTGCATTTGTTGCTAGCATTCCAGATGTGTAAATAGATCAAAGACCTCCAAGCTCCTCCCTCTTGAAACTTTTGGATGTCTTTACAGTGCTCTGGTGGTGGGTGCTTTCATCAGAGTGGCTGCAAGAGCCATTCCAATTAAAGTACCCGCAGCTTATGGCCAGAACTGCACATGATGGCAAGGAATGCAGCCAGGCCAGCTCACTTCTACTCATGGGGCTCCCCATGGCGCACATGCAACTCCTGGTACTTATGGTCCACCACGGCAAAGCCCCACACAGTGGAGGTAGCAGTCTTCCCTGCTTCCTGCCACCAGGAAAGCAGGGAGCAAGGCTCCCTGCCACTTCTAGCAGAGTCCCAGCAGCTCCACATGGCAGCAGAGAAGGCAGCTGGCTCCATCGTGTGGGGCTTCCCCCTGGTGGTGCGTGAGTGCCAGGAGCTGCACATGCACTGCAGGGGGCCCCGGATGATAGAAGTAGGCTGGGCTGGCTCTGCTGCTTGCTGCCACATGCAGCTTTGGCCAGAGCCGTGCACAGCCAGGCAGCAGCACCTGCATGGGACATGAGCACCCCAAGAGCCTCTGCCTGCTGCTGGTGGTGGCAGGGGCTGTGCATCATCGGAGGGACTGTGTGTGTCGGGGGGTCCCAACACTCATCCACCCTCTCTCACACTCCACAAATCCTACACACCCACACCCTACCCTTACAACCCCCCATGTATACACGCACCCTGCAACATACCTTTCACCCCCCAACACACATAGCCATACCCTCACAAACACACACCCACACTCCACCATACACAAACACCCAACCCAACCACACCCCATACATTCCCCCACACACAATATACAAAAGTAAGACTTTATTTTTGAGCTATTATGCAATCACCTCTAAACTACACAAACACATATCGTGACAAAATATTTTTGTAATAAAATTAAAATATGTTATTGTATGAGTTTGAGTTTTAGTATATGATTGGTTTTTCTTCTTGTTCCATGATGGACACACCCCCTCCAAAAGGAGCTTTTCCGGGGGGAATAGGAAGGGACTTCCAGCGGCAAAGGTCAAGGGCTAAGGGCATGACTTCTTGTTCCAAGATGGCAGCCAGGAGGGGGGCACATGTCAGAGGGTGGGGCTACCCTTGCAGCCATCGACAGCTCAGCAACACTCATTAAGCAGCCCCCCAGCTGAAATAATTGCCCATCTCTGATCTAAACTTCAGTCCTTGTTTAATTATTCAGCAAGACTAATACTGCATATTGAGGTTGCAACCTCAGCCCACCCTACGGAAGCATAATCCTTGCAGCCAATTACTCATAGCTAAGCCTTCCTCTCTCTCTCTCTCTCTCTCCCTCTCTTTCTATGCATTGACCAGATTTAAAAAAATTAACACTGATGCTACGCGTGGGCCCTGAAATTGCTCCCCTGGTACGGATACTTGTCTACACCACTGTGCCTAGTGGGGAAGTTATCGCCAACTCAGCAGATTTCCAGGTCGAAAACTGCCTCCCCAATAAGGTGAGTGAGCTGAATCTATAACCCGTATTTACTCCATATATGAGAGGCCTACCCTGCAACCCAGAACAAGACGAGTGTTCAAAGACGACCCAGGAAATGTGCACTGATTCCATGATCCTGTCAGCTACTGACCGAATGTTAGCAATGACAATCAGAGGATCACGCACATCAGGCAAAGTCATATAGTTGGAACAGTGGAGTGTGGAAGCAACCCCAGGCTGGAGCAAGCGATACCTGTCCTCACTGAATTGCTGTAGTCAGGATAGAGGATGCAAGGCAGGGCTGTGGAGTTCTGGTAGAGCTGTGTGTCGCACAGCTGAGTTGTCCTCTGGGGCAGCACATGAAGGTACCGGAAGAATCTGATCTTTTCATTCTTTTCCTGGATTGCAGGTCGGCTTGGTTTTCAAACCTCCTCGTGGCACCCCAGCCTCCAGCACTGACTTGACTCTTGGTGCCTTCCCAAAATCCCTGTGTGCTGTCCGGGCAGTAGACAAGAGTGTCCTCCTCATGAAGCCTGAAGCTGAACTCTCAGCTAGCTCTGTAAGTCATAGATGTGCCCAGCAATCAGGAGCCACAAAACTCCATTCTCCATGAGAGCTGCATAGGGCTGCCCACTTCAATTTGGGACTGAGGCCTTTTGGCTGAGGCTGAGCTGCTGTTGACTTGTGTACAGAGGCCTACTCATGACCTCCATGGCCAAACCCAGTGGTTGCCATCAGAGGGCCAGTGGCTCTTTGGTCACAGATATCACTGAGTCTTAAATCCTCTCTTGCAGGTATACAGTTTGCTCCCACTGAAGCAACTCAAGGATTATGACTACAAAGACCATTATTTGGAGGAAGAGGACACAAACCTTTGTGTGTCACTTGACCCCATCTTACTAAATGGGTTCATCTACCAGCCCGTGTCTCCTGATGGTGACGGGGACGCCTACAGCATTCTCAAAGTAAGCTCTGGGTTTCTGTTCCTTTTTTGAAGCTGCCATTAGCCCACCATATCTTCCCACCAGCTCTCACCACTCTGCCACATCTTGAAGGCCATGAGCAAGCATAACTGAGCTTGTTAACTAGTGCATTCATGAAGATAATTAAACCTGGAGTAGAAAACCCTGGATTGGAGCACTGGGCATCAAAACTTGCTGTCAGCCACTGAACCTTTTTGAAGTTTCCCTGTCACTGATATAAATATGGCTGAGGAACCAGAACCCAGCTGGAATAGCTAGACAGATCCAAGCCACAAGAGACAGATTCAAGCCACAAGAAAATTAGCCCCCATAGCCATGGAGGTTCTCATTCCATCCTGTCTATATTAGTCTGCAAGTGTACAAACCCCCAAGGTATCTTGACAGCCACACACTAACAGAGTCCTGTGTATCTCTGTCCCATCTGACATTGATTCTTCAGCCCATGGAATCTCATACTGGTGCCCATTGGGTTTGGCACCCACATTACGAAAGCCCCCTGCCTAACTGGAAGGCAGAGTTTGATATCTCAGTGGATTGGAGCAGGCTAGAGAGATGGAAGCCCTTCCAGGACAGGACTAGGACATGTTGGCAGAGACTGATCATTTGGGGAAACTCAGTGTCATGGGTGGCTGGTGCCTTCCGAGTCTAGGGGGGGCAACAGATTGCTGAAGGGGAGGCGTGGTCCCCCAACGGCCAATCATCGTCAGTGGCAAAACTGGAAGTGCTGGCACTTCTGGTTTCATGGCTGGTGCTTCCAGGGGGTGCATGGCTGATCTCAGGGGGTGCACATGCACTCGCGCTCACCTCCTACACGTCGCCAATGCTCAGTGTTGTACCAGCTCTTGGAACCAGACACAAAGAATATCCACCTCCGGTTCTGTCAGTCCAGCGCTGTTCACTGTTCACTTACCCTGCATTCAGCCATTTTTAAATACATTGAAGAAAAACAAAGACAGCATCACCCCGAGTAGATCTTGGTGTTAACTTCAGTTAGGTCACACCAGCATTTACCTCCTGTGTCATTAGTGATCCTAGCAGGCATCCTGACCTACACAGTGAAATGAAGCCATCATGAACCAGTCCCTTCTGCATTCCTTGTTAGCATATGATAGTCATTCCAGTCCAGATACTGATATTGACTGGCTTGCTTCATCAAATGCATGCTGCTGGTATTTGATTAGTTATTTGGTTTTTGTTTTTGTTTCTGTTTTTTACCAGAACCTGGGTTTAAAAGTCTTCACTAGCACCAAGGTCCACAAGCCTGAGATCTGCAGGCGTTATAGTATGCAGCCCATGGCTTATGGTAATGACAAGAAGATAGCCTGCTTTGCTTTACCAGACCTACAGCCTGTACATAACAAATCTCACTTGGAACCAGGTTTTCTTAGATACCCTGGTGTATCTCCAGAGTCACTCCAGCATGTTCTGAAATAGGAATCTAGTCTTCTTCCACCTGTTCTGTGCCCATTAAGAAAACATGCCCTGTTCCAACAAGGTGGTTGCAGTGACACCCCAGGCTAGGCTGTAAATATGTGTCAAGGGGCTTTGAAATAGGAGTGTCCAAACATTAGAGTAGGAAAGCACATGCTAAGGGCCCTCTGAACATCTTAGAGATAATCTTCCATTGCAAATGATCTTTAAGTGGCTCTGGGCAGCTCGTGTTGCAGTCAGGTGTGACTGCTTTACAGGCCCAAGACCAGCTGGGAGCAGTCCTCCAGTATCCCAGGAGGCACTGCTTCCAACTTCTCTATCTTCCCTCACAGAGCCAATGCGTGCACGCTTGGCATATGGTGAGTACCACTTCCCCTCCCCTTCTGAGCTCATCTCCATCCCTGGGGCTCCCACCCCACATCTCCCCTACCCCTTGGGACTTATACCCTGTCCCCACGCCCCGCAGGGCTCTCCCCAACCCCGGGGCTCTCCCCTGCCCCCATACTCCCTGCAGCTCTCACTCTGCCCCGCATCCCTTGCAGCTCATTCCAGCTCCCCATGTCTCCCAACTCATATTTGGCTGCCAGGTCTGTCCTCGGGAGCAAGCAGGGAAGAGGAACTCACCCAGCCACCACCACTACCATCTCCAGGCTGTCGCTGCTCTCCGGGCTGAGCCCAGATGAGAGAGCAGTGACAGCAATGGCTGGACAGACGGGTTCTCCTTCCCTGCTTGCTCACTTGGGCCAGCGCCGGCAGGCACAGGTGAACAGGGAGCTGACAGGGGTGTGGTAACCAGGGAACTGGTGTATCAAGAGGTGGGGGGCAGTTCTGATCATGGCAGTTGTTGAATTGGAAACTAAGTGTCCTGGTTTAGAATAAGGTCTGATAATTTTCTTTCTTTCTTTTGCTCTTTTTTTCATTCTTTCGCTTTCCTTCGCTCTTTCTTAAACTTTTTCTTTCTCCTCCCCACCCAATACTTTGCCTCCAAAATTTCAAGGCCTACGTGGACCTATACGCTCATTATACACAGTCGCAAGGATGCCCCCGGACATGGAAATTAGCTCTGAGGAAACTGTCCGGAAGTATTTCCCTGAGACATGGATTTGGGATTTAATTCAAATGGAGTAAGTTGTGTTGCTGGGGCTTTGTGAGCATGGTTGCTTTGGAATGCAAAGCAATTCAGAAGACATTGAAGCACTGTGGCAAGTGCTCATGCTTCTGTGATGTGTGGTATATAAACAAATTGCCTTTTGAAGATAGACAGGAGAAAAGGATGAGAGACAGACAGATAGGCAAATGGAAAGAGAGAAGAAGAAAGTACTACTTGGTACCCCACGTTCACCCCACCTCTCTCTGACTTTGAATCAGCTAATTGCCTGGGGAAAATGTGTGTGTGTGTGTGTGTGTGTGTGTTGTTTGTTTGATCAAGGGTCAGATGTGGTAATCTAAAATAGCTAAATAGCTTACCCTGTTTTATATCTATGCCTGTGGGATCTCTTATTCACTGTGGAGGCACGACCCGAGTTCTTTTATGTGGGTGAATTTCCTGAGGCGATAGATATAGGATGGGACAGGAGGAGATCTCCCAAGGGAGCTTACAAAAAACCCAAGTGTACATGTCCTCCCAGTGCTAAGCCAAAGGGGGCATTGTTCAGGATGACAGGAGTGGCTGAGATGTTAACCCTAGTATCATGAGGTGGGGGTTGGACTAGATGACCTCCCAAGGTCCCTTCCAGCCCTACTTCTCTAGGATTTCAGATGGTCATCTCTAGGAGCATGCCCTACTGCCTTTTTCCCTTTCCCTCACCAGCTCCCAAGGCAATGCTGTATTGACACTGACCATCCCTGATACCATCACGGAATGGAAAGCCAGCGCATTCTGCACCTCAGAGCACAGTGGCTTTGGTCTGTCCCCAACTGTGTCCCTCACAGCCTTCCAGCCCTTCTTCCTGGATCTCACCCTGCCATACTCTGTAGTGCGTGGCGAGGACTTCCCACTAAAGGCCACTGTCTTCAACTACCTGGCCCACTGCATCAGGGTAAGGGACCCTCTCACCTTTGCTGGACAGAAGACAGAGTGGAGACCACGTGGGCCTGTTATACCACAGCTTTCCGTCTGGGAAAGCCAGCTGATTGGCTGATTGGCTTTGTTATTACCATGGTGCAGTACAGCATGGGTGTTAGAGAGAAGGGCTCTGATTGGCTCCTAGGTAGGTGTTAGGAAAGACAGAATCAGTTTGGCTGAGAAAGCTGCTGTTGTGCTAGAGCCTCAAACCTCTATGGGGCGGAAGGCACTCAGTTTGTGCCTCTATCATACACCTGTTGAAAGCAAGGTAACTGGATGGCCACAGCCACTACTGTCTACAGTGGAAACTCGAAGCCTCCTGGAGCAGACACATTTGCTTGGTGTTTGGCCTCCTACCCATTGCTGACCACAAAGCTCACATCTTGCTGCAGCTTTGATACTGCATGGAACAGAACTCTGTAGCCCATTTCCCCTTTTGTCCGTCGACCAAACAGAAAAGGCCAAGTGGGTTGGGGCATTCAACAAGAGGCTTCCTGAAAAGTCAGGGCAACTCGTCTCTCAGGATTGAAATAAAAGGGAAAAATGGAACAAGCAATAGGACTGATATGGACCTTCCGTGGCCCCTCTCATCCACTTCTCCTTGTCTCTTCCATGCTGCTTTTATAGCTAGTTTCCATTTCTGTCCTCTGAATGTCCAGACTTACACCCAGCTGGTAGCTTTAGGGCCTTCAGCTTGTCTTTATTCACAAAACTGGTCCTTTTCCCCCTGTCCCTGCAGTCCCCTGCTTCTGTCAACACAACTTTGCATCCCATCCAGTTCTGGCACTTGGCTAAACTCCCAGGCTCCTCATCTTTCTCTGTCACCTCAATTCCTCCTCTACCTCCCACCCCCACAAACTCAGTACCAAACCAGTCCCTCTCCCCTGCACTGCCCAGTCCCAAGTAAACCCCAGCCTCCTCCCGTCCCTCAGCACTTCTACTGACACTCTTATACCCCTGGCAGGTCAGCGTGTCATTGACTCCATGTTCAGATTTTTCGGCTGCCCCAGCGGAGAAGAAAGAGGACGCTTATTGTCTCTGTGAGAATGAAAGGATAACTGTATCCTGGACTGTGACCCCAAAATCTCTAGGTAAGAGATGTGGCAACTGCAAAATACTGGGATTAGAGACCCTTGGGTATCTCTAGAGCAGGGCTGAATGGTTTCAACTGCTGGTTTTGAATGCTGGCTTAAACTGTGAATGAGTGTTGACCACCTGCTTTTTGGATTTTTTAAAAACAGCCTGCTTAGGAAAATGTTTTTCATTACTTATTAGGGCTATATAAATGATATTCTGAAAAGTGTGTGAATTAGGGCTCTGTAGTAAAAGTGCAAAAACAGGAATTTTCAAAAGGAGATCAAATTCTCTATGAACGTTAGGGTTGATTTTACAAAACCTAATACTTCTTGTGGTTAAGGAAGGGATGTTTGGAATTGTCTAACTACTAGGTGTACTAACTACTAATTAGTACTGTACTGTACACAAATTCAATATTTTTTAAATTATTGAGGATATTTTTAAATACAATTTTATTCCTGAAAGAAAAAAAATCTACTTGTGATATTCTTAAGTATATTTAATGTAACTAAAAAAGCACTATATCTTTTTTGCTTTGATATTCTGATTTTGGAGTCTCTTTTTCACCAACTTGAGCATTAAGCATTTTATAGCACATTACACGTTTATTCATTTTCAATACTCCTAATTTTTTTTTTAGTTTATTATGGATGAAACTAAAAATTAAGAAAATTCTTGCTACTGAAGCTGTTGATGTTACACATACTTGCAGATGAGTCACAAATGTAATAAACTGGATCTAATTATTCTTTCAGTCAAGACCACCATGTTTTTAGCCAATGTTGCTCCAAAACCTCCTTGTGAGGGACTTGGTGGTGCCAGATTTTAATATAGGAAGTTTTAAAGCTGGCATGGAGCGATCTTGTCTGCTAAGAAGGGAGGAAGGCCAGTGTTGTGGCTAAGGTACAGGACTGGAGCTCAAGAGCTGGACTTAATGTCGAGTTTAGGACAAGTGATTTAATGCCAACGTGCCTCAGTTTTCCCATCTGAAAATGAGAATGACATTCATGAGGTGTTCTGGCAGTACCAGGCTGGCCAAGTTTGAAGGTTTTGGGTAAGGAACTTGATGGCTCTGAAATCACAGAACAATCTTGATTGTTCTGTGATTTTACAAGGAATGGGGACCGGACTCAAAAGATATCCCACTGTACTGCTGTCCTGTCCATAATCTCCACTCCCATTTGGTCTCTGATGACAGTGGAATTGGTCTTGGAAGGCTATGGCACAGCTAGGTAGTCCTAAATGCAGCTTGAGCTTGAGCTGCATTCCCAAAGAGGTTTCCATGTAACCACAGAAAACCACAGGAGTAAGATACACCTGTCACTGCACAGTGTCTCCCTCTTCGTTTCAGGTGAGGTAGAGATCTCAGTGAGTGCTGAGGCTCTAAACGGTGGCTTGCCTTGCGGGGACAAAGTGGTGGAGGCCCCGTCAAATTGGCGGAAGGACACAATAATCAGGAAGCTGTTGGTGGAGGTAGGTGTGCTGCTTTATTACCTGTGGTACAGAGAAGTAGTGAAAAGATGCTGCCAGCTGGCAATGCCTTTGGCAGTGCTGCAGATCTTCTCTGTTTCATGGGAAACCCACAATGACTTAAGCCCCAGCAGCAGTGCTATAATGCTGCCTCTTGTTCTCTCCTTGTGTTGAGATTTATCACTGCTTCGTCTTAAATCTCTTTTCTACTTTGTGATGAAATGCTACCTGTTTGCTTCTGGGAAAAAAAAATGATAGTGCATTGCACAATGTGGTGGGACTCATAAGCAAAGCTGGTCTGTTTTTGTGGGAAATTATAGGCAAGAGGAAGCAATAATATATTATTAACTGATTTTTTTTTTTAAATCAGTAACCAAAATTATTATTCCTTGAGGATTTGGATGGCTTCCTTTTCCTCAGCTTCACTAATTGCTCTTCCCCTTTATCTTTTCCATACTTTTATTCCTATCCCTTTGCAGCTCACTGCTCTCATTTTCTTTCTTTCCTCTCTCTCCATTTCTCCTTCTCACTCCTGCACACATGTTTCCATCCCCAGGTGTTCAGTCTTCCTGTGAGCACTCACCTTTCTTATTTTCCTTCCCCTTCCCTTTTCCTCCTCAACCCAAAGCCGGAAGGAATTCCAAGGGAAACAACCTACAACTCTCTGCTCTGTGCAGCTGGTAAGAGCCTTTTCATTCTTGGTTTCTCCCGGTGAAGGGAAAGGCGTAGGCCTCAAGGGAGGCTACTTCAGGGATGCTGAGGGGGAAGAACTACCTGAGAGTGATAAAAATGAATCAGGACAAAGTAGGAACATATCTCACCTGGATCACAGGGGAAGGTTTCCTAATGGGAAAGATCTGTGTATGTGTGGAATAGGCCAAGCCCCTCAATGGAGGAACTGAAAGTGTAGGGGACATTCCTGGCTCTTCTCTTTGGGCAAGGGACCAGATGGGATTAGCTGGGCTGTCCCCATCTCTAACATCTGTGGCAATGAAATCACAAACTGGATTCTACCATCTGCCATTGCCCCCAAAAATGAGCTGGGTATTGTAGTTCCTCTCTCCTGGCTTGTGATTATGCTGTGGTCACTTTGTGTGTCACTTATGTGCGGGGAGCAGAGCCTGAGGGTGGAGTTGGGGACAGGAGGGAGTCACAATAGTAGGACAGATGGTTGGGGTGGTGAAAGGCAGACAGCTTCTGTGCAGGGCCAAGAGAAGGTAGCAATGAAGGCATTGCCCTAGATCCAGTCCTGTGGTTTGCTTATTGCCACAGGTCAGGGAGTTTCGCCATGCTCAGTCCTGTCTGATCTCTCCCCAGAAAAGTCTGCGCCCAGTCCGGTTTCCCTGGAGCTGCCGCAGAACGTGGTACCTGACTCGGCCAGAGCCTACTTCTCCGTGTTGGGTAAGAGAGGAAGCCCAAAGTGTTCCACCCTCTCTGGCTGTGACCACTTCCTCCCTGCCTGGCTGCTTGGCCTCCCCATCTGCTCAGCTGCTTACCCCACTGCTCAGCCATCATAGCTTTTGTATTCATCCTTCAACCCCCTCCCCACTGGTTTTTATCTCTTCCTAGCACTTTACCTTCCTTTTCTTTTCTTGCCCTCACTTCTCCCCTGCTGCTTCATCCAACTTCTTGTCTCCATCAAAACATGCACGTGGGTCCCTTAAGGATTATTTCTCTGTCCGGTATCTCTGTTGTTTCTTTTGATCACATATTGCCTTTGGCTGACTAGCCTAGCTGAGAATATTGCATGCCACCACCACCGTCTGTAGCCCTCTGTGACCCTGCAGGTGGGGTCTGAACCATGCTCACCCCCCACATCTTCCTCCCTTCAGGTGATATCCTGGGCACTGCCATGCACAACCTGCACCAGCTCCTCCAGATGCCCTTTGGCTGTGGGGAGCAGAACATGGTCCTGTTTGCTCCCAACATCTACATCCTGGACTACCTGAATAAGACTGGGCAGCTGAAGGAAGAGACCAAGTCCAAGGCTGTCGGATACCTAGTCAGCGGTGAGGAGAGATGGAACGTGTGTTCCTCCAGTTGCTCCCTAGTTTTGGTCTATGTCAGATAATGCTTCCATAAGGAGGGACAGACGGATGGAGGGGCCTGCCTGTCACTGTTGTGAGGGGGTTGCATTTGTAATTGCCCCACCACTGGCTGTGGGTCATCCAGTCCACAAGAAGCCCTGTGATTGAGCTCCAGCCTGTGGGGCCGAATAAGTTGTACAGCTGTGTCTTAGAAGCATGAGGCCACTCAGCAGATGGCCACTCAGCAGTGTTCCTTATTCCTGTATTAGGAATGCAAAGGAATGGCCACCATACATGCACGTGTCTGTGAATATGGACATGGGCAGGTAACGCATGCATTGCCAGGATGTACTCTAACAACTGGGATACTTCAGCTCAGCTTCCACAATAAGGGGCCACTCTACAATATCCTCCTCAGGTTTTGTACCATTTTTAATATGTCAGGTAAAAGTAACTATTTCAGTGTGAAATGATTAGATCAGTACAACTCCTAGGGCAAACATGGTTTTACTCCTTCCTGGAGAGGAATGACGAGTTTTATACCAAGGTAGGAGGGCCCACATGAGGGTTATGGGACCACCTTAACTGCAATGGCATTGGTAAAGCAGCACAATGTTGGTGTGTAGACTAGAACTAATAAGGGCTCTTCCTGGAGCTGAGCTCTTGTGAAGTAAGCAAGCATAAATAGTATAAGTCATTATATTTTTATAATTATATTGTACTAATAAGATTCTAGTTACAGTGAAGACTTACTTTTCATCCTTCCCTCCAGGTTATCAGAGGCAACTGATTTACAAACATTCAGATGGCTCTTACAGTACCTTCGGGCCCCGTTCCGGGCAACAGGGAAATACTTGGTGAGATTTTGGTGCTTTTGATTCCCCTGCTCCTGCACACTTCTTATGTTATAATCTGGTGCTTGCCCACTGCTAAAGAGATACAGGTCAGCCGGGGCTGGGGTGAAGGGAGAGGATACAGGGCAATCGTGAGGGGGAAAGGAATGAGAAGGAGTGATATGAAAGGAGACCTCCTTTAGCTTCCATGCCAGAAGTCAGTAACTGTTTACATCCCCCTGGGCGCATCTTCATGTGTGCATTTACTGCACAGTAACCGAAATGACTGCGCAGAACAGGTGTGCGTCTACACATGCATGTCTGTACTGTGCAGTAAGTATGGGGACATACGCCAACCCAAGCATAAATATGATACCTGCATCATGCACGTATTACATATACACCTGATTAGTTACTGCACAGTAAAACAGGTGTAGACGTGTTACAGCACAGTAACCTAGGGAGCTTCCCTGCTGGGTCTGCCCAGCCACTCAGGCGCCGGCCTGAGCCCAGCCCTAGGGTTCGTGGCTAGCCTGCTTTCTTGGCTCGATTTTTGGGAGTAAAGTTAGTCCCAAGTGCTGACAGCAGTATGGCTGGAGGCTGGAGCTCCCCCTGGAGGCCACAGAGGCACATGGCAGGCAACTCTCACCTGGGACTAAATTTAGTCCCAGGTCACCTGCACATGTAGATGCCGGTCTATTCCCACTTATCCTGAGCGGTAATTTACTGCGCGGTAAATTTAAGCTGGCATAAATGCATGAGTAGATAAGCCCCCTGACTCCCAATCCCCACCTAACAACAACCGGCACAAAACCACATATCAAGGAGACCGTGGATGCAACAGGCTTCATCCACTCCCTCTCCCCAGCCTCTGAATCAAGGACCTCAGGGAAGGAGACGGGGTTACTTGCAGGTGCTGTCACCTCCCTTTTTTGGGCCCAATCAGGGAAAAGAAAACTTAGGTGTCCCATGGATGTTGAGAGCTGTCACAGCTCCTCCCATGCTGCGCTTCCAGTGAAGAAAATCTAAATAAGGTGCTATGGCCAGACATGACTATTGACCATTCACCTTTCAGAGGTGAGGGCCATTCTCTCCCACAGGGAGTTGAGTAACCCCGCCGCCTGCCAGGTAAGTTTTAAATGGAGGCAGATTGCTTGATACCCCTGTCCCAAGATGTGTGGTTTTGCTGGACACCCTCAGACAGGTGCCACATCTTCCCCAGACTCCATTTCAGTGAGTGGCTGAGCCAGTGAATGGCTCCTAGGCTCCCAACTACCCTCTGGAGAGAGAGGGAGCACTCACTGCCAGTATGCTCTCCACTGCAGGCTGACAGCATTTGTCCTCAAGTCTTTTGCTCAGGCCCGACGTTACATGTACATCGACAGCAAGCACATCCAGGATGCCCAGCTCTGGCTTTCCAGCAAGCAGAAGGAGAATGGCTGCTTCCGCAGCTCAGGAATGCTCCTGAACAATGCCATCAAGGTGATGCATCAGCCCAGCTGGCTCTGGGCCCCAGCTCCCCTCACAGGACCCTTTACAGGAGTTATCTGTAGCTCCACTTGGGAAGAGCCAAGCCACTTCAACACATGGGGCATAGACTGGGAAGGAAAGGGGCAGCAAGGATATACCAAGTGTGGGCAAGGATATGCAAGTAGGCTACTGTATTTTGGAGCTGCTGTGAATAAAGGGTGCAGGGGCAGATTTCTAGGATCTATCACCATGTGGGAAATACGGGTGTGTAGGCTGCCCCCATCGGGGATGGGTGGATGGTGGGGGATGTTTTCAGGAACTGCTTCAGCCTTAATGTAGTTTCTTGGGTGGTTCACTTGCAGGGCGGAGTGGATGATGAGGTTACGCTGTCTGCTTACATCACCATCGCGCTGCTGGAGATCCCCCTGCCCACTACTGTACGTGCCGGTAACCCTTCAGCCCATGGGCACAGCCAAGCTGTCATCATCATAGTCAGATTGCCAAGGATTGTGTGGGAGGTGGAAGGGGGTTGCCTTTTTCTGTAGGATCCATCATGGTCCTAGGATCCCCTGAGCATCTATTAACTAGCTCTTTCTCCTTCACTGCAGTGGCAGGGCATAGTCAGGTGTTCCTAGCTCCTCTGTTTCTACCTTGTGATATGTTATAGGATGTGCTTTGTGTTTCTTACTTTGTGCTGTGTAGTCTTATGTTCGAGAGTTTGAAGGGGTGATTTTTGGGTACCCTTGATCAGTGGTTGCTTGTGAATGCAAGGGACAGGATTTCATGACCCAGGAGGCTGCTTTCAGTCCAATGTTCCTGTGAGACACCCGGACTGACAGCTTCCCATCCCCTTGGAGAGACCTTTAAGAGGGAGGGAAAGTGTCTGCAAAATTCAGGGCCTGATCTGGAGTCAGAATCTCCCTACAGTTTCCCTTTGCATCTAGGACACTGGGTCCATTCCCCCTCTGGCCATTTTGTTTAATTTCCAGCTAGAATCTCTTCAGGGGCTTTTTGCTTAGCCCTCCACAAAAAACAGCACAGCTAAGTTTTGTAAGACATTTCACACTTGGTAAATACCACGTAACTCCTGGGCAGAAGCAAAGTAGGCCCCTAGCTTACTAAAACAGTTCCTGTTTCCTTAAGTTAGGCAGCTTTACACCCAGAGCTTGCACTAGTGAAAGTTGTGTCAGCAGTGTCTGATGAATAAAGTCTGTGGTTCCTTCCATGCCCCCTGTACTGGCATATGATGGCCATATCACGTGAGGCTGGATTTGCAGGGCTGGAGAGATAAAACCAACTAGAGCATAAGGCTGGAACTAACCCCAGCAGACTGAAGTTACAGTTCAAGTTACCCATATGTGGGAACATCTGAAAAAAAATATCCTCCTTCAAATGGAAAAGGATGTCATTTCCTGCTTGCTGAACTTATGAGCTCAATTCACCTCCAGGCTAGAAGCTAGGATGTCAGGATTCAGCCAAAAGTGAAATGTTGTCAGGAGACAGTGGACAAGCTGAAATAGGGGGTCATGTAGAGAAGCGCCCAGCAATGCTCATGTTATGGTTGGAGCAAGAGAACACATGGCTAGGGTGATATGGGGAGAATCAACTGGAGACAAGAGAGGGAGTTCTCTCTCAGAGGTTTTCCTAGCCTGGTTTGCAAAGCATCTGGCTAAAGGGTTACCCATGAATGCAGGGGGGCTGGATTGGAGCTAGAAGTTGGCTTACTGCCAACATTTTACCTTGTGTTGTAGTATTGATATAGCCACGATGGACCAAGGAATATGTGAGGTGTAAGATCTGCTTAGTAATATCTTTTCTTATTGGACCAACTGGACAGATAGAAAAGGTGTTAGGCCAGCTTTCAGGCACAAAAGGTTATTCCCTAGGGATGGCAAAGAAGCAGATATAACTTAGGCTAATACTTGATAAAACAGTGACTTGCGCTTAACTTCATTATGTAAATGAAAATGGTAATTTAAGGAAAGGGGAGTAAAACTGTGGAGCAAAAAGAAGTTAGAAGCAGCTACAGGCCAAGGAAAGAGCAGTTGAACTAGAGAAACCTAACTATGTAAAAGATTCAAACCGTGCAAAAACTGTTTCTATTAAAAATGAGTAGTAAGGAAAAGCCTTGCACGGGCTGTTAATGCCACTAGTATCCTATCTTCTTTCAGCAGAGAGGCACAAGGAGGGAAGAGAGTGGGCAAGTGCTCTCACAGGTCTTGGGCTTGTTTATCCCATGAGTGCAGAGAAAAGTGGGCTTGTGGTCATCTCTCCCCTCCCTCTGTCTGACCATATCTCTCTCTCTTTCCCCCCCCACCCAGCACATCATAGTCCGCAATGCTCTGTTCTGTCTGGAGACAGCAGCACAACAGGAAGGCAACCATGTGTACACCAAGGCACTGCTGGCGTATGCCTTTGCCCTGGCAGGGAAGGTGGAGAAGCAGAGGGCACTGCTTGACTCACTGAAGAAGGAAGCTGTGAAAGAGGGTGAGAGCTTCCTTCTCTCTCCCGCCCATCCCACTGGCCCTACAATCTGTTGTAAGGAGACTGTGTCTTCAGAATTACATGCAAGGCACTCAGGTGAAACCAGGCACAGGAGGGAGAGTTTTGTCTTCCTCCCAAAATGTAGGGATACCACAGAGTCAGGCAGATTTCTGACACCCCAGCATATTGCCTGCCTGGGCTGACCAGAGTTGTGTATTATGTTCTGTGGGCTATGGTCTTTCTGTAAATTCACGTTTCTGAATTTACTTTGTATTTCTCTCCTCTACTTCTGTTCTTTTCCTATTTCCTTTAATCTTTCTTTACTCCTTTCCCCCTCTCCCCTATCTTTTTTGGATCATAACACTTTCTCCTCCATTTGTTTCAGTCCATTTTTCCCCGCTTTCTTCATCATATAAAAACTGTTCCCTCCCTGTTTATCCCTTCTCTTAATTTCCTCATGTCATCTTCCTCCTTACCCCTAACTTTTGTTTTTTCTTCTCTCTCCTTCATTCCTTTTCTCTCTCTTGTGTGTCCTCAGTGGAAAAATAATCCCATAAATTCATCTTTGCCCATAAAGACATACCCACACACTTCTGTCTTGCAATCCTCAACTCTTCCTCACCCTCCACACACAGAACTGACCTTAAAATCAAGTAAGGGCACAAACTCATGGAGAAGCCTTGTCCCTGAGACAAAAAATACACATACACACTGTCCTCCAATCCCAGTGCATGTGGGACCTGTTATACAAGCTGTTATACATTGCTGAAACCATGCACGCACTTTCAAACTCCCTCTCCTTCCTTCCAGGTTCAGTCCTTGTCCCACAGCCCCCGACCATAAGCATAATATCCTAGGGCATTCTAGTATGGCATGCATGTAGGAAGAAACTGGGAGGAATCCTTTATTGATCATTTCTTTTTGAGAACAGGTAATTTCTTTTCTGATGGAGGAATTTTTTTCCCCAAAAAGGCATGGAAGTCTCTGCTGCTGGGCAGAAAGGGATGACTGTGGGTGGGCAGAATGGCATGTGTTATTGTATAGGATATCATTCTGGTTAAGTGTTTCCATATTTATAAAAGCAAAGTGTTGTATCAAGGAGCAAAAAGAGTCATTTGAACAGGGAAAGGCTAAGTGCAGCTCATTTTTCTCGTTCTTTCAGCTCAGCATGTTGGCTCATTGCATTTTTTTCAACAGCACGAATCAAAAGCAGTGTCAGTGGGTGCTTGCAAATATCTGTTTGACCTATAGCAGGCAGGCCCCTGACAAGATGTTTTGCTTTGGTTGCTGAAATATGACAGCTGGGCCCCTTCATCCTATCCTAGCTAGAACACTTATCACGCTGCAGGTCTCTTTTTGAGTGCCGTCATGCTGGAGGATAGGCTGGGGATACAGGTTGACCTGGACAGGCTCGCAAGGCGAGCAGATCAAAACCTGATGACATTTAACATGGAGAAATGTAAAGAGCTCCATCTGGGGAGAAATAATTCACAACACACTTACAGGCTCAGCAGTGCTACACTTGCTAGCACCACAACTGAAAAAGACCTGAGGCTTATGAGAGACCACCAAATGAACATGAGCCACCAATGCAATGCCGTAGCTGGCAAAGCAAATAAGATACTGGCATGCATCTACCGATGCATTTTAACCAAGACTATGGATCGCATCCTCTACTCTGCTTGGCTTTGGTGAGGCCAAAGCTGAAGTACAGAGTCCAGTTCTGGGCACCCCACTTCAAGAAGGATGTGGAGAGGCTTGAGAGAGTCCAAAGGAGGACAACATATGTGATTAGAGGTCTGGAGAGCAGGTCATATGAGGCAAGTCTGAAAGACATGGGACTGGAGAAGAGAAGACTTAGAGGGGACTTGGTGGCAACCTATAAGTATATAAGGGGCACATGTCAGGGCCTGGGGGAGCATCTGTTCAGCAAGGCACCCCAGGGGAAGACAAGGAATAAGCATCATAAATTGCTAGACGATCACTTTATATTGGACATAAGGTAAAAACTTCTTTATGGGTCGAGTGTCCAGGGACTGGAACAGACTCCCCCTAGAGGTGGTACAGTCACCTACTCTGGCTTTCTTCAAAAAACATCTGGGCGCTCACCTTGCTGGAGTCATCTGACCTCAGCAGTCTTTGGACCTGATGCTCTTGTGAGCATCCAGGCCCTAACATCTCCAGCCCCTAACATCTATGAATTTATGATGCTGCTGCCCAGAGAAAATAAAACCAGGCTGAGGCACTCATGGTGGTAGGGTTTGTACCTGTTGCAACTGTCAGACAGCATGTGGGCCCTATAGACAATGGTCACAATCCTCGCGGTCCCCCCCCCCGCTTCCTTTAGCAGTTTGTGCATGAAGAGGGCACATTGAGCTGTTCTCCCTTTTGGGAGGTCCAGGTATTTTTGACATGGGGTCCCTGTAGCCTCTGGCAGTCTCCTTGCTCTATGTGTGCTTATGTACAGGGCATTAATTCTCCCCTCTCTGCCCTTGATTCCTCCTTCTCTCTCTCACACAAGCACACGAGCACATATATACATGCACACACACGGGTTTTTTCTCTCTTCCTCCCCTTTTCCCAGCTTCCTCACTCCAATCATTTCTTTCCCACCCCTCTCACTTTACCTAGGATCTTTCTCCCCACTCCACCACCCATCTCCCTCATCTCCTTCTTTGGCTTTCAAGTTCTCTCTATCCTTCTCTTCCACCCTTGCCTTATGAGGACTCCCAACCCTCCCTGTACTGGCCCCAGCTTTTGAGAAGGGCAGGCTGAGTCAGGGCAAGAAAGAGATATACTGCAAGATGTACCTTTCTCGCCCCCTATAGGTTTTGCAGGCGGAAGCAAGCCAAGAGGCAGCTGGGATCCAGAGGAGCTAAGGTGTGCCCAGAGGCAAAAAGAGAGTTTCATTAGGGAGGCATGATTTAGAGAACGTGGGGGAAGCCTTTTCAGGCTCTTCAGTCAGAGGAGAGTCAGGGACAACTTCCCTTTCTCTGCTGCTTATGTGTATGGAGACAGCTCTATGGCAGCCTTGTTTAGGGGGTGAAATGCTCACAGAAAAGCCAAAAAAGGGACACTGCAAAAAAAACAAAAAAAAAAAAATGGAAAAGGTGAGTTGAGACATCTGAGTGAAAGAATAGCTTTGTCAGCTCCTCTCTGCCCTCCACACGCCACTCTCCATGCTCAGCATTTCTTCCAGGGGTCGGCCTTCCCTCAGTCAGCATAGAGCAAAGTCTACTCTAGATAGGGTAAAGGAAAAACAAACAGAAAAAGAGCTTGATCATTTGATTAATAAAGAGACTACAGGGGTCACTTCAGGTTCATGTGATGAAAATGTCACTTTGAGTGGCTTAATGGCGACGCACAGTAAATGTGCAAGAGTTTGGGGGGTTTAAAATAAGTTTGTATAGCTGCAAACTAAACTACATCCCAGTGTAGTTTAATTTGCAGCAATGCACTGCAGCTAATAGCCAACTCGCCCCACTCCCCTCCCACCCCGCCACCCTCAGGAAAAGCAGGCAGGCTCTACAGAAAAAAGGATTGGGCCCCTCACTGCTTCTGCCTTCAGCAGGCACCTGCTAAAGGCAGAAGGAGGGAGAGGCCCAATACCTTTTTTTTTTCCAGCAGAGCCTGCCTGCCTGTCCTGCGGCCAGGAGACGAGCTGATGGTGAGCCAAGCAGCCCTTGAACTGCGGGGTGCCCCAGTCCTTCCTTCTGTGCCAGTGCTACCCCACCAGGGCCACCCAGGCATGCTGCTAGCAGGCTAGGTGCTGCCCCAGCTTGGGGTCAGGGCAAAGTTGGATTGGGTCAGGTGCTGCCTCTGAGTTGGGACAGCACCCAGCAGCATGCCCAGGTGGCCCCAGGGATCTCCATTGCTGCAGAGGGAAGGACTGCGGCCCCCTCACCCCACAGCTCAGGGGGCACTTGGCCTGCCAGGAGCTCATCCCCTCCCCCGCCCCCGCCAAGAGCAGGGTACGCTGAAAAAAATAAATAGGATCAGGCCCCTCACTGTAACAGTGATGGAAAACTAAAACCTTACTGTTTTATTTTAAAACCCACCATTTCTAATTAGGGGGCATAGAATGCAATGCTAAGGACTAAACCCTGTTACATGTACAAGTACCCAGGGACTCTATAGGAAGGTCCTGGGGTCCCAGAAAATCTCTTTTAACTATGGAAAGTGTTTTAGTACGTTTGAGATGAGTAGTTTCTTCTCCTGGGTGTAGCTACAGGTGGGAGACAGAGACATGGTGTAGTACCCATTGACCTGTGCCACCTGATGGCCTGGACAACTTGCCTGCTTCATGTTTTTTTGGATCTGTAAGTCTGAAAATGCCCATTCTTGAGATACTGCTTCATAGAATATAGATGACATAGGCTCAGACGTGGCAGCCTAATATGTTCCTCCAAGGACATTTCAGTTCCTCAAAGGTATTTCAGTACTTCAGTTGATCTGACCCCAGTGTGCCTACACAATTCTGTGTAAATTCACCATGTCAGCAAGTAAGGGACTACTGCAGCCTTTCTCACTTCCTGTCAATGTGTCAGATGATTACTGAGCACTCAGCTTTCCTGACCTCACCAACAGCAGGTCACAGATTGACTCCCTTGGAAACTGGGCAGTAAGCTTTAAGATGTCCTCCTCTTCTTTTCTCCCCTGCCTCTTCTACCGTGAAGATGGATCAATTCATTGGAAGAGGCCTGAGAAGGAGCCAGAGACTATTCTCCCATACTATCATCCCCGGGCTCCCTCTGCAGAGGTGGAGATGACGGCCTATGTGCTCCTTGCTCACCTCACCACCCAGCCAGCACCATCCCAGGAGGACCTGACAACAGCTTCACTTATTGTGAAGTGGCTCAGCAAGCAGCAGAATCCCAACGGGGGCTTCTCCTCCACCCAGGTAAGCCATCCTCCTGCTCTGGGTCTGGGTCCAAGGGCAAAGGTGGGAGACAGAGAGAGGCATGACAGAGACTGACCCAGGAGTGGGAGGTATGAGTCTTTTCTGTGGCGGAAGCTCCCCATCCAGTGCAGAGTACAGAGAAAACCTCTACGTTGGCCAGCTGTGGCCTCAGCTTCACTACAGTCTGATGGCTGGGTAACTGGCTCTGAGGTTGGACCCAGAGAGTAGTGGTCGACGGTAGCAAATCATCGTGGTGCTCTGTGACCAATGGTGTCCCCCAAGGCTCTGTCCTTGGACTGGTTCTTTTTAACATCTTTATCAATGGTGTGGACATTGGTGTCAGAAGTGCACTGGCTAAGTTTGTGGATGACACTAAATTTTGGGGCATAGTGTCCCACTAGGACAGGTTAGTGATCCAGGCTAACTTGGATAAACTTAGTAAGTGAGCAGATACAAACCTAATGATGTTCAATATTGATAAGTGTAAGGTACTCCACCTCGGGGAAAAAACCCGCAGCATGCTTATAGGCTCAGCAGTGCTACACTTGCTAGCACCACGGCTGAAAGAGACCTGAGGGTCATGATTGACCACAAGATGAACATGAGCCACCAATGTGATGTCACAGCTGGAAAAGCAAACAATCCTCTGGCATGCATCCATAGATGCTTCTCAAGTAAATCTCAGGATGTCATCCTCCTGCTGTACTCGGCCTTGGTGAGGCCACAGCTGGAGTACTGCATCCAATTCCGGGTTCTGCAATTCAAGAGGGATGTTGAGAAGCTTGAGAGAGTCCAGAGGAGAGCCACAGACATGATCGGAGGGCAAGAGAATAGGCCTTAGGAAGACAGGCTGAGAGCCATGGGACTCTTCAGCTTGGAAAAGCGCAGGCTCAGGGGGGACCTGGTGGCTGTTTATAAGTCTATAAGGGGTGTACATCAGGATCTGGGAGAAAGTCTGTTCACCACAGCGCCCCGAGGAAAAACAAGGACCAATGGTCATAAACTCTTCCAAGGCTGTTTTAGGCTGGACATAATGAAAAATTTCTTTATTGTCCGAGCCCCCAGGACCTGGAATAGACTCACTTCAGAAGTGGTGCAGGCACCTACTCTGGACTCATTCAAGAAGCGTTTGGATGCTTATCTTGTTGGGATCCTTTGACCCCAGCTGACTTCCTGCCCCTGGGGCAGGGGGCTGGACTTGATGATCTTTGAGGTCCCTTCTGTGGTGGGCCAGTAGGGGGTGCTCCTGCACTGAGCTGCCTGCCTCACTCCTCTTGACCACCTTCCAGGCTCCGAGTGCCTCCCTGGGGGCTCCTCATATCTGGCTGACCCCCTTCCTGGAGCACCCCTGCTACCCTGGGGTAAAAACTGCCACCACCCAGGGCTGGGCTTGATTCTGGCTCTGCGTCCCCTGGGTAACACAGGCCTAGTAGCCGTCGAGGGTACTTGACTCACTTCAAGCACTTGCGGGTGCTTCCCTCAGTCAGAAGCACAAGCAGTGGTCTCCCTTAGTCAGCCAAACCAAGGGGATCACAAGGCATAATACAGACCCACTTCCAATAAGTCTCCCATGCTAGGTACAAAGGAGAACTTTATTGGTTACAAGGGGTAGGGTTGGAATAGGATACAGGGTAGAGCAATATCACAGAAATCCCATAGAGCAAACTGGCATGGCTGGGTAGCCTTTGATCAAGCATCTGAGTTACAGCAATCTATATATCTAGTTAGATCTCAGGTAGCTTACTTACAAGTATCCTCCAGAGGCAGGTAGAGATTCCCTCTGGAGGCAGGCAGTTCTTTGATCATGAGTTTTGAGAGAGAGAACAAGTTCCAGGTGGTCCAGCTCTTCTCTCTCTCTGAGTCTTCCTCATGGCTGCTGCCCCCCTCCCCCTGGCAGTCCTTAACTTATATAGTCCTTATGACTTCATTTACCTGGTCCAATGGAAGCCAGCACCTGTTGGCTGTTAGCTAACCAATTTGAAATGCATCACTAGTTGCTGGGCAGACTGGCAGTTCCTAGCTCCCCAGGGAGCCCAAGCCCCTCACCCAGGTACGTGATGCCAGTCACATAGACAGAGGGAGAAGGTTTCCCCCCTCCCTCAGGAATGTATCCAGCTCAGGTTACCTAAAGAGATAGGGTAATGTGTGAACCCTCTGCAGGGCCCGTCCTAACCAAATTGTCACAGAGCAGAGTTTTTGGGGAGAAACAGAGGTGGCCTTCTGCCTCACCTTCCAGCCCTAATGTCTGTGAAGTCTATGAATATCAGAGGAGTTTAGACAACATGACAAGCACCACAATGAGTCTGGTTTCCTCAGGTACCCCAGGCTCTGAAAGCTAATAAAGCTGGAGACTGTCTAACTCAGGGGTGGGCAAAATATGGCCCACAGGCTGGATTCAGCCCACCAAGCTATTCTATCCGGGCTGCGGGGCACCTAAGAAGTTTAGAAAATGAATATTTACCTGCTCCTGGCTGCCTGTCAAAATGAAAGGAGCCAGGGGCAGTAGGACCCAGGGGAAACCACCAGGAGTCAGGAGTAAGGCCAGTACAGCCCTGCCCTGACCCCAGCTCCCTCTCACCTGGAAGCCTCTGCCTGCCACTGCTTTCCCTGCATGTGACTGCTCCAGCACTATGTGGCTCCCAGCTGCATCTCTGGACTACAGGAGCACGGGGACAGGGTGGGTACCACGGGGCCAGGAGCGGGAGGGGTGTGTGTGTGTGTGTGTGTGTGTGTGTGTGTGTGCGTGTGTGTCTGTGTCTGTGCAATGAGGGAGACAAGAGACAGAGAGAGCAATGAGGGAAGGAGAGAGAGAGAGTATGTGTGTGTATAATGAGGGAAGCACAAAGTGTGTGTGCGTGTGTGTGTGTGTGTGTGTGTAGTGAGCAAGCACAGCCTGTGTGTATAGTGAGCGAAGTACACAGTGTGTGTGCACATGTTTGCGTGTAATGAACGCAAGAGCCCCATAATGAGCAGGGTGAATGTCCTTTGGGGGCAGTAGAGAAATAGCAAAAGCTGGCTTGTTCATCTCCCTTCTCCACCCTATTCTGAGGAGGTTCCAGTGCCCGGCTCAGGGCACTACGAGTGGGTGAAGTAGATGAGTGGGGACTCCAGGCCTAGAAACATGGCTCGCTCATCCCTGTGAATACCTGCACCCTTCTCATGTCTTGCAGGACACAGTGGTGGCTCTCCAAGCCCTGGCCCTCTACGGGGTCCTCACCTATGCCAAAGATGATGGAGCTACCACAGTGACCCTGGAAACTGAAAAGGGCGTCCAGCAGCAGTTCCACGTGGATCATGCAAACCGCCTGCTGCTCCAGCGGATGACACTGCCCGAGGTGCCAGGGAAGTACAGCATGGCGGTGACTGGGGACGGATGTGTCTACACACAGGTGAGGATCCCCAGGGGCAGGGGGAGAGGCAGACATCATCCTGGGAGTGGATAGAAACACCTCATTCCCATGGGAGATGGAGTGAGATGGTAGGGAGGAAAGGAGAGGAAAAACAAAGGGGGGAGAAGAGAGAAAATAGGAAAGAGGTATGAGCAGGAGGGCTGGGAAATAGGGAGAGAGCGGGAGGGAACAAGAAATAAAGAAGAGTGGGAGGGAAAGGTGGAGACATGACAGGTGAGGGAGAAGGGCCAAGGGAAGATGCCCCCTCACCTCTGCCCGGCTATTTCTTCTCTTGTAGACAAGCCTGAGGTACAACGTGTACCCCAAGCCAGAGGAGGCACCTTTCCAGCTGCACGTACACACGATCCCTGAGACATGTGACAGCCCCAAGGCCCAGAGGACCTTTGACATCGCCATCAATGTCAGGTAAACCCCAGCACAGGCTGTTGTGGTCCAGTGAGGTCAAGAGGCTGGGAGGGGAGTCACTTGCTCTGCTCCATAAGGGGTTTTTTCCCTTTTTAAATCATGATACTTTCATGATCAAAACTGGTTTTTGCTTTAAATCAACCCCCGCTTTTTCACGTTTTTATCTTGCTGGCTTTGTAGAGCCTTATGTTGCAAAGCAGTTGTTTCCCTGGTAAGCCCAAGCTGGGATGAACTCCAGCACAAACCACTCATCCTCTCATGCTCACATGTGCCAAGCCTGGAAATGCCACTCAGGGGCCACCCTAGTTGTGGGATGGGGCGAGGGGACAACAGCCCCTTGCAGCTCCACTCAAGCGCCCTGGAGTCAGGGACCTGGGGTGCAACAGAGGCATTTCTGACTTTGGCAGAGGAGGGTGAGCAGGGCCCATGTCACTCTCTTCATGTTTCCTATCTTTCAGTACAACTGCAAACTTTAGAGAGAGACTTTTCTCCCCGGAAATGTTTCATGATTAAAAAGACTCCTCTGTGCTGAAAAGGAACTGTCCAGAGCCCTCTGCACTGCCTTATTCTGAGACAAGCGCATGCCTAAAACTCATAAGCAGATACACTATTTCTCCAGCCAGTACCCCTCTCCACTTCCCCATCCTGACCTACCCTGAATCCACACCACTGAGATGCTCTTTATCCTCTGAGAAGGGATTACAGTTTGAAAACAAAGGGACTCCTAAATCATTTAGGTGTGTCTAGCAGTTTTGTTCCTGGAGGTGTCTACATAGGCTTCACAGCTTAACTTCAGGCTCTTTGTTCTGGAAATGTGGGCTTGCCTGTATGCAAACACTCACACTAATGTTAGGAAAGCCATAAAAGTAGTACCTTCTTGTTGTTAAGAATGAAGTAAGTTTGTTTGAAAAGAACTGAGATTTTCAGGCCACGAAGGGAAAAGCTTTTAATAAAAGAATAGTATTAGCCCCTGATGCTGCCAGTGCTCAGTCAGTTAGTGTTACTCACCCGGGCGAGAGTCAACTACCAACCTGCTTAGGTAGATCCTACCTATGATCAAGGTCTTCATTTCCATTACTTTGATTTTGCCTATAGCACTTCTGTAAAGTTCAAGCAAGACACTATAGCAGTAGTTGCATTTTAGAAAAAAAAAGCATGTAGAGTTTTAGGTCCGTATGAGTTTTAATCAGTAGTTTACAAATTGACTTCAGAATAGCCTCAACCTGATTAAAACTATTTTACTCATGAGGAAAATTGCACCCCTCTGCCAAATGCTGTATGGAAAGAAAAGGCTTGTGCACCAGGCAATATCAAGTGATCTAAACCTTTCCCAAGGCAGGGCTGAGGGGCACAGGGCTGTCCACGGCTGGGATAGCAGGAGGGCTGAAAAATCCTGGCAGAGCTAGGAGCCAGGGAGCGGGAAGGGAGGAGGGTCTTCAGGTCAGGGTGGAGGCTCTTTAGCTTTGCCATAAGGTGCATTAAACCCTGCCCCTTTTGCTCTCTGGTTCCTCAGTTACATCGGGAAACGCCTCTCTTCCAACATGGCGATCGTTGATGTTAAGATGCTGTCGGGGTTCGCTCCATTGAAAGCATCAGTGAAGCAGGTGGGAGCCCATCCTCTATATGCTCCCTAACCCCACCCCAGAGAGATGTGGCTCCTCCCAGCTTGGAGGGCACCCAGCCTTCCTGACCTCCAACCCCAACCAAGGAGTCTCCTTCCCCAGTCAAGTAGTGACGCCACCCCTTGTTTTGGCGGGGCACAGACAGCTGACTTCCTGGTGTCTTCTCCAATTTCAGTCCCCCAGTGCCTGCTGGCTTTTAGGCCACCACATGATTCCTGACCTTCACCTCTGCTTTTCCCAGCCCTGGCCTGCTTCCCCTCCTGCGTCCCCTCCCGACAAATCATGATGGGCCTGGTGTGGGGACTACCTGGGGAATCACTGACTTTCCAAAAATGGGAAATAAGAAGAGGAAGCCCAGTTCCCTGTGCCTGCTCCCAGCTCAACTCTACAATTATAGCCCTAGAGCCTCTTGCAGGCAGTGTTTCCTCTAAGCTGTGTGGTGTGCGCAGCTGCACAGGCACACTGATGCTGCACTGCTAAGTGCGCCTGCGCGGCCACACACAACACTCACCTTAGAGGGAACGCTACCTGCAGGCCCTGTTATTTCCATTCAGCTCTGTAACATCCCGCTTCTTCCCATCTGCAGCTCCCAAAAACCGTTCCTCGTATCAAGCGCGCAGATGTTAATGTTAACCGTGTGCTAGTGTACATGGAGCAGGTGAGCATGCCCTGGGGTTGAGGTGGGCAGGGAGGGTTACTGCTATCGCACCAGCACCTGCTCCACCCAGGAGCCTGAAGCCTGTGCAAGTACCCCCTTGCTGCTGCCCAGTGTCTCCCTGCAGGGTGGGACAGACCCCGAAATGAAAAAGTCCCGGTTTCGGTCTTCATGACCCAGGGACAGCACTTGTCCTGGATTTCCAGTATCGTGTAGGGATCTGAGTTTTCCATTCACTGCAGAAATACATGGGAAATGGTGGGTCTCCCCTTGCAGGCTGTCAAGAGTTCCAGCCTTCAAGTGGCTGGGGGAAGTGGGGTGCAGGGGGGTGATACATTCATGTGTGCATGTGCACACGTGCACGTGGCCAGGAGAACAGCCCCAGGTAGTGGTGGAGAGCAGCTCTCCCAGCTGCCTGCAGGTAACTCTATGGGGCAGGGAAAGATTGAGGTCCTCACAGTGAAGGAGGGAGTAAGACTGGGGCTGAGCCTGGGGGCTCTGCCCAGCCATGGTGATGCTTGGGGCTGGGGTTTGGGGTGGGAAGTTAGACAGAGCCACAGGTGGCTCATCCAGAAGATGGGGGGGCCACTGCCTGCTTCTGCACACACCTGCAGGGAGGGGAGTATGGGGGCACATACCCCCCCCCCCGATATGTGTGGGGTAGGGGTGGATGTGGGCTGTCTGCTGTGGCCTCAGGGCTCTCCACCCTGTTGCCCTCCCCATGGGAGCCCCGCACTTTCTGCGCTGCCATGGCAAGGCACCCTCTGCTCTCCAGGCAGCGGCGGCAGCTGAGGTGCAGTTGTGCCCCCCGCTGATGCCAGGAGGGCAGGGGGCAACTCGCCATGGTGGTGCAGCTGGCACAGGGCTTCTGGGGAAGGGCAGCAGGGCAGAGAGCCCTGAGGCCAAAGCGGACAGCCCGCATCTGCCCCCACCCTCACATGGGCCCCACTTGGCTCTGCTCCAGCCGTGCCACCAGGGAGGCTGGGGGGACATTACCTTAACACCCCTCCCCATCACTCCTGGATGATGGAGAGATGGGGAGTGAGGGGTGTAGCAGGCTCAGAGCCATCTCTGAAGGCTTGGTCACTCTTCTTCCTTAGCTGAACAATGAGACTCTGAGCTTCTCCTTTGCGGTGGAGCGGGAGATCCAAGTGCACCACCTGAAGCAGGCACAGGTGGAGGTCTACGACTACTATGAGAAAGGTGAGTGCAGAGCCTCAGGCCATGTGAGCTGCCCAGGCTTTGTCAGAGGGAGGGCACTGGCCACTCCAAGAGTCTCTTAGGGAGCCCACTGGGATACTGCATCTGCTTTGGGCCTTGTTCTCTCCATCAGCCTTCCTTTTTTCCTCCACCTTTGTTTGGTGCCTTCTGAGAATGGAGGAAGTCTTTGGGCTCCTCACATTAAAAGCACCTGCTTAGCGACCGCCCCTGGAGGTTCAAAGGGAAAACCCATTCCCTTCTCCCTCCCTCTAGCCAGGAATGGACCTGCCACAACATTAGGCCACAAATGGAACTGGTTTGCACGGTGCAGGCAACATCTCTGTGGAGCATCCTCTAGAGGGCTTTTGCTCATGTCATTGGTCTAGTTCTCAGTAGCAGCTCCCCTTTCCTGGAAGAAGAGGATGAGGCTGCAGGGATTTAGTAGGAGAGATCTTCCTTACCTGCCTTCATGCTCCAGTCCCTTCCTCTACTACAAAGAGAAATTCCCAAATCTGGTGAATTAGAAACAAGGGGATCTGGGTGGAACCTGGCTTCAGATCCCATCCTGAGACTTGGCCTGTGTGTGGGACTCCAGGGAGGTACATTATCTCCTTGCTGCTCCATCTCCTCAGCTGGTAACTCAGAGTGACAAAGCCAGAGGCCCCCACTACCGTGAGACCAGATGTCCGAGCAGTCCAAGGCAGACAAGGTTCTTTGGGTGAACCCAGTATTTTTATTAGATGAACTTAAATAGTGGGAAAAAAATTTCCCACTGATTAAGTTGGTCTAACAAAAGATACCAGGTTCACCTAAAGAACCTTATCATCCTCTGTCCTTAGACCAACATGGCTGCAACTTACATGAGCAGGCCAAGGGCACCTAGCACAGACTTTCTGAAGATCTCTCCACAACCTGGCATCGGGGTAACTTTGCCATTCTCCCAAGGAGCACACAGAAGCTGTCTGAGTGCCCCGGGACCGGGGGTCCTTCTCTCATCTCAGTCTCTGCCAAGCCCACTTGCTGTAGTGCCAGATCTGCTTTGGGGCCTGGAGGCAACTCCTCTCCCAGTGCCCCTTGAGAGCATCCTGGTGGGTCTGACACAGCCTTGCTCATGTTTGCCTGCCTTGTCTCTTCCAGATGAATTCGCCATTGCAGAGTACCAAGCCCCCTGCTACACAGGTAGAGTACAGCATGGCATTTCCTTTTCTCTTCTTCTACCCAGTAACCCCCGGCCCTACTCTGCATGGCAAGGACTCCTCTCCAGGCAGTTCACTCCCCCTGCCCTCCTCAGAGCAGTTGAGTCTGGAGGGTGATGGGTTTCCTGTGGCTTGTTTCTCCACAGTCAGAACCAAGTCCCTGATTTCACAAGTGGGCTCTCATTTGTCTGAGGCTTTCAGTCATGGGATATCCTGGCTCAGGCTGTGTAAGAACTGAGGCCTTTCATCCTTGACCCCAGTTTAATCTGCACTTCCTGCTCCTGGGCAAGCTCAGGGCAGATAAAATCTCCCCAGACAATACAGTGGGAGAGGCTGAGCATGAGTGAAGGAATCAGAGTGTGAGGGACGGCCAGTTGCAAGGAGGCTTGCCAGCACCAGGAAGGGGCAGACATGTCCCAGGCCTTGGCTTGCTCTTCATAGCCCTCCTTCTGAAGGAGTATGAGACCCAGGAAAGGTCTCAGCCTCCAAGCTCTACGGTGACCTCTGTTCACCCTGGCACTGACCCCAAGGCAGCCACTCTGTCACAGCCTGTTCCCTGCCTTGGGCAGGGGTGGTTACTGGGTGAAGGAATTAGCTCCATCCTGCACTGGTTCCCATCAGGAGACAGAAGCTGGGACTGAGTGGGGTAGATATCACAGCCCTTCTCACCAGCACTGTAGACATTGCAGGTGGCCCTAAGTGTGTGTGGCTCCACTTCCGCTCTGACTCTGGCATCAGCTCTTTGGTGCTAGAGCAGGGCCTTAGGCTCCCCTCCATGTAGCCCCTAGGGTGTCATGCATGGGCAAACCCCCCATGCCTGGAAATACTCGCGTGGGTAGTGAGACAAGGGAATGCCACATCTGCTAATGGGGAGAAGTAGCAGCTGCAACTCTCCCGCCTGGGGCTCCCATAGCCCCTATTGTTTCATATTGCAGCAGACAGGCCAGGAAGTAGGGAGGTGCCCTGGCACCCAGTAATTGTTGGCACAGTAATTGTTGTAATTATTCCTCAGTTCTTCCTCACATCCCCTCTGCTTTTCCCCCTACAGTGAAAGCTCAACAAAGTAACGCGTGAGGCACAGATTTGTATTTTGAGCCGGTGGATCCCACCTGCTCATTCCCTGCCCAAGCTGAGGTGGTTGGATGGAGCGACCGGATAAAAACAGAAGCACAAAGTGGGAAATGGACTTCACAAAGCAAATCATACTGACCTATGGCCTCTGATCAGTTTATTCCCAAACCAGCTGGTCCCTGCTCAGCCTCAGATCACAGCTGCAGAAACCCACAGCTTTGTCCCTCTACGGCTCTGCTCACTTGAACAAGCCAGGCAGGTAGAAGGGAGTCTGTGAGGAAAGAACTGCTAAGTCACCTTCTGTCTAGTAGCCCCCATGTGTCCAGCTCAAAGCCAGTGCATGATTGTTCCTGGCTTGTCAGAGGGGCGTATATGTGTACCCTGCCTCTGAATAAGTGAGGGGGACAAGAGCACTCAGCTGTGTGAGGCTTTGTGCTGTTAATGCATAGTGGACTCTCCTGTAGCTCAGGTAGTCGAGGCTTTGG